CAGCCACATCTGCAGGAGGTTCCCCGGCTGCTGGGAACAGGCTTGTTCCAAGCCCCATTTCACACGGAATTTGCCTCATTTGGCAAAGAAACCCTGGCACGGGGTGACAGTTTATTTCTGGAAGCGAATCTATCCAGGGCTCTACACTCCAGCATGGAGCACAGGCAAGCCCTGCAGATGCTGTCTGCTGCTGCCCCTCCAGTCAGCACTGTTCCTGCAGCCAGCACTGTCCTTGCTCAGGGACGTCACCGTGGCCAAGCTGTCCCCTGCCAGCACCCACCTTCTTGGCTCCCAGCTCGATGGGTGCCAAACACTCGGGCGCATTGTTGCGGATGCTGTTGACAAAGGTGGACACCGGGTGGAAAATGATGTTCTCTATGGGCTGGATGAGTTTAACCGCTTCTTGGGTTGGCACTTCAGCAAAGTCGAGCCATTTCCTGATGGCTTCGTCCCCGTCCAGGATGGCTGGCATCCTAGGGGATGAGACAGTCAGATATGGCAGAGCAGGGTGGCAAAAGCCAGGCTTGTAAGGTAGGAAGGAGCCAGCAGCTCAGGGGGAGACAGGGAAAACCAAAGCAGCAGGATGCTCTTCCACAAGGCAGAGCACACATTGGCTTCACCCAGGTAGCTGCATTGCTGGGAGAGGAAGAGGGGTGACTGCCATGCCCTGGTCAGGTGGAGAGTGATCCAGCTCCAGAGTGATCCAACTCCAGCTGCTAGGACCAGCCAGTCCTTGGTCAGGGTAACCATCACTGAGCAACAACTAAAACATCAGTGTTATCAGCGTTGTTCGCAGGCTAAAAGTCAAAACCACAGCACTGCACCAGCTACTGAGGAGGAGAAAAACAACTGCTACAGCTGAAGCCAGGACATGTGGAAAGGGCATCATCTGGTGATCCCAGAGGTGCTGGTGATGCTGTATTTTCTCTCAGGACATCAAGAGGAGGCAGGGCTCCCTGCCTGCTGCCGGACCGGTGTTAGGCACAGCTTCCCTCCCCTGTGCTGCAGCCCCTCTTGCGCCCTCTCACTTGCCTGTGATGGATGAAGCTCAGGTCCTTGGAGGCATCCACGGTGATGATGGTGTAGGTGTACAGCGCTTCTCCTCCTGCCGGTGGCTCCCAGCAGTCGAAGATCCCGGCCATGGTGAGCAACCTCCATCCTCTCCATTCCTCGTCTCCCTCCTTCTCCTCAGCCTGCAGGAAAGAGGTCCCATCACCCATCAGTGCCAACACATGCGAAGCCAAAGCACCACAGACTGGCCAGTGCTGTGGCAGGTCAACAGCTCAGACCTAAGTGACGAACTGAGCTCATTTGAGGGATTCCAGGAGCCCTTCTACTGATTCGAGGTAACTCCAGGAGAGGAACCAGGAGCCTCATTGTCCCACAGGAGAACTGGCTCCTCCTGTGCTTCCGAACACCCGTCTGCCAGCTCAGCAAAGAAAGAGGTAGCGAAACTCCCGGCCTGGTCCCCTGAGACACACATCACCCCCCCATGCAAATCACAGGAGTGGGGAGCACTGAGCGTGACGGTGGTGCTGCTGCAGCTCCTTTCCCAGCCCAGGACCGCGGCAGCAGGACCACTGTCCGCACAGGGACACCACCGAGCCCCAGCAGAGACACCCAGGGATGGGCCTGGCAGAGGGAAGGGGCTTTTCCCAGGGCAGCAGGAGGGCTCAGAGCTGGGTGCGAGGCTGTGGGTGCGGTGGGGGATTCCGTACCACAGTGTCCGTGGGCTGGGGGAAGTGGATGAAATACGGCTGCTTCCCCCCCCGGGGCCGCT